CAAAGTGAATTAATGAAAAACCCCGCACGCAACGAGTGTTATTGGTGCTGCCTGGAAGATTGGTTGTCAAAGAAATCGAATCAAATGGAGGGACAGCCATTTTGTCCTTGCCATATAGATTATTTATCAATCTGACCATCTGCAGTGACGCATGCCTGCTTTTAGAGTCAGTTCACATAGACAGTATCCTCACATCAACCTACCAGCTGGACATAATCTGTTTTCAGTTCAGGGTTGACCGACCACAAATGCATTTTCTTTTTGCCATATTATTATACAGTATATACACTATCATTAAAATATAATTTAAGCTCCAGAGTCTTGAAGTTTCTATCTATTAGAGTACATAAATAATGTCATAAATATGTAATTTATGAATCCTTATAAAATGTTAATAAATCATTCAACCCACACCTCCATAACACCCTTTTAAATCTCTAGCTGCCAGTGAGAAGCTGCCTCAGTGTGATGAAAACAAAGAGAATAAAAGGAATGCAGGGGCTTGCGTATTTTCAATTTAGCAGAAAAAAGAGCATCTTTGTTTTGTTTTTCACAGATTCTGTCTTTCACAATGATCCTAATCTCCTCTGAAGAAGACTGCCTGTTCCCGCCCCTCGCTCTCACTCCTCCATTTCGAAGTCATTTGCATGGGCAGAAAGGAGCCAGCACATAACACATTTCAGTGCCAGGTTCCCCTCATTAAGTCACCTGTCACTTCAGCACCATTATACCAGGCTCATATTAGCATCACCTCTCTTTCCCAATAAAGCACCTGGAGAGGCACTATAGGCCTACAGGCTAATGGCAGCCTACACATCTCACATCAGCCACTTCTTCTTTACACAGTAATTCATCACATAATGGATTGCTGATTTTCATAATGTGCACAACATACACAATGCCAAGTGGTGTAATGTATTCCACTGAACACAAAAATGACACCCTTTGCAGTACATCATCAAACACACCAAATGTTCTCGCTGACTGTCGTGCTCAGTTGAAAAAAAAAACAGAGTGAAAATCCTCTGCATTGGCTGCGAGCTGAATTGTAACTTATCAAACCACAAGCCCACTATATCATCAACAATGCATTTGTTATCTCAACGATACAGATGCAGTAAAGGCCCTGCAGATTGTCCCTGTACATTTCAATTACATTTGACATGTGGTAAAGGCTTTCAAAAAGCTTTGCTCTGCACCACATCGAAGCATTACGTTAATGATTTGCATTGTAGGCTTTGATTGCAATGGGGTTGAGGTGTCAACACTGGCAGCATGATAATGGTTACACTTGCTGTGGTTTATGGGCCCAACACTGACCCCCAAGTCTGTTAACCTTGCCTCCTCTGTCTTGTAAATCCTACCTTGAGAGGTTTATAGGGCTCAGCTGTCAAGCCTTTTCAGCCGTATTTGGTGGGTGGAGCTGTAGCACAGACAAACGACACGGTGGTACATTTTGCATCTGTTGAGTGACAACAATGTACATGTGTTTGTTGCAGCAGCGAACAAAGCACATAGTAAACACCACAACAAATGCGTAATTTAAAATTATTTTTCTTAGCATTATTCAGAAGCAGCATGTGAAAATATTGATATGAGGATTGGAAGAAAAACGTGTGTTTGTTGTGGAGCTGAGGCTCATTCTGATTGTCAGAGGTAATGTCAGTTTGTGTCCAGAGTAACGTGAGTGTGGCACACTAAACCCTGTCCTCCCCACTCCCCTTCCCTTGTGGGTTGCGCTTGACTTCCACCGTTTTCACAGCTGCTCTCAGCAGTGCACTCCATTACACCTTAAATCACTTAAAAGATCTGAAGCACCAAAAAGTCCCTCTACAACTAATTCACCCTGACGGTGTGGATCATCTAGAAAAAACAAGAGCAAGAAAACACTGCAACGTCTGATTCCAGCCTGATAAAGTTGAATGCTCTCTTTATAATGGAATATATTGCTGCCTTAACTGGACAATAATACATCAAGTTACAAAATCATACACTCAGACCTGAGAGCAGTTTACAAGATTTTTGCACAACACAGATAACAATCGCATATTTTTCACAGCCAGGATCTTGGCAGGAGCGTTCTGACAGAGGCAGATTCCTCTTTGTCAGGTATCCGAAAGCAGCCACCGAGATTAGACTCAGTAAATAAGGAGGGATAAGTGGGTCTTGTCCTGTGTTTGGTGGCACAGAGCTGTAGACACGCAGAGGCGTGACACGCAGCTGCACAGTGCTATTGATTCTCCGCTAGTCTCAAGGCACCCTTCCTTTTCATTCAGGCTGCCTGCCAAGTGCCTCTGAACAGGAGCCCCTGCTTTCCCAATGTCTGCACGTCTGCTTAAGCACAATCAATGGGCCATCAGCGGGAAACAGAATGCACGCCACTGTCTTTACTTCCTCAGGGTGGGAGTCAGGGAAATTGAAAATATATGTAGTGGAAAGGCCTCATGATACCATGCAGGCATAAGGCATCATTGACTATCAGAATGAAATCAAAAGCCCCAGATGGCTACAGCCAGCAGCACCCCCTCTCGAGCTTATTTGCAACAGAATGACACGACTATACCACATCCATATCTTGCTGAAATAACTATTTGCTAGACCTGGATCAATTTTTCTGCATTCTGAGATCTGAAACAAACTGTCAGAGGAGCTCATTTACCCTGATCAGATAAGCATTTGAAGGTTACTGGAGGAGAGTACAACAATAGCTATGTCCCTCACTTCAGTGTCTTCAGCAGACAATGACGACCACAAATCAGCTCGACTGTAGGATTGTATGTTTTTTTTAAAAGCACACCTCAAGACAATGATAGATCATGAGAAGGAGCCGACTTTGTCTTTCAGTGATAGGTATTCAGCTTCTCCACCGGTGGTCCACTATGCAGCATTCTGCACCACTGCAAGGCTTCAGTTGAGGTTGCAAATCTGTCAGAGAGGCTGTCATGGTTTACAATAGAGTGACAGAAACGTCCCCATTACCAAGGACATTTCAGTTTTGTTCTCGCACGGCAGAACATCTTTTTCAAATCCATCTTAAGCAACACAAAGGGGATCCTGGGCTGAATGCAGCAATATCTTTGTTGCTTCCCAAAGATAAATAATGTACCCTCTTACACAACTCATCTCTCATCTGTGCTTTGAATGTGACTGGAAAGCATAGCCAATGCAGCATTACGTTTGAGGCGCTTCAATCACCAGATCGTGCGTATCACTAATTATGCACTCATTGGTCATTTCGAGGGTGAGTGGTAGTTCGACTGGTATTGAGTGAGTGCAGGGAGAAGCTTTGTATGCCATTAAGGTGACAGACTCAGTGTCATCCGCTGCAGATAGCGAGAGGATGACGTTGTGATAATAAGTAATAATAATCAAAATTATAATAAGATCTGTTGCCTGCAGAGCGGAAGTGTACCCAGGTGCCGAGTGTCTGCATCAATGCAGATATGAAGATCAAGAAGGATCCGTATCAAATACATGAAAAGTCAAGCAGGCAATTAGTTCTCTTTGTATAGGCGTGAAAAATCCTGCATCAGTTAAACCAAAAGTAATACAGAAAAAGTGCACATGTTATGTATACTTTAAATATGAACAGACACATCCTCAAGCACACACTTATGCACACACACATAACACATAGCCAGTGGTAGTTTGTTTTGCAATGTTTGATCTGTGATGTTATGACTTTTAAATTAAAAGACAACATTATTTCAACAGGATCTAATTTCTGTGTCATCAGTGAGTAGCTGCGCCTGAGGACTAACATTGGCTGAGTGGCTGTACAACCTCATACGTGCAGCAGCGAGTAAATAAGCAACCAGGATATTTTTACAAACAAATTAGAAACGGTCCGATTATTATTTCCCACTGTATGACTTAATAATCGTGACTTCAGGCACTCAAATGCCACATTCACTTTATTCATCTGAACGGATAAAAACCAATAGCAGCCAGACGCTCTCTGACAACAACTTTTCAGTACCTTGGAAAGCATACCGCCCCAGAATGCTGAGTAAATAAATAAATAATAGCTCAAATAATATAATAGCCCATACAAGCATCCGAGCGGTTGAGTGCCCTCATCAATACACAGTCATTTGATGTTACCGTTTTAACCGCTTTTAATTATGTTATGCTACATCAGCACATTGTACAGCTGATGTTGTTCATGAGCATGACATTAGCATTCAAATGTTTACTGCAACTCTTTAAAGGAAGAAAGAGAAGAGGGAGAGAATGAATTAATGAGAAGCAGGGGAAGCAGTGTGTGTGTGTGTGTGTGTGTGTGTGTGTGTGTGTGTGTGTGTGTGTGTGTGTGTGTGTGTGTCGTCTATACATTTTTTAAACTACTTTGCCTTTAATTTAATCACTGCCTTGGCCAGAAAATGCAGTATGCAGGATCTTGATCATTTAGGAGTCTTTTTTTCTTTGGCCCAAAGATTTTTCCTCTCACACGGAATAAAAAAAAGAAAAGAAAACTGAAAAATACAACAAAACAAATCCTCCACTGTCTTTTTTACTAGCCACACTGTATGTGTTTGCTGCTGCAACCTTTTCAAAAGAGCCCATCCAATAAAAGCCATTACAAAACAGGCAGGGACGAGGCCTAACCTTCGGATAAGGGCTGCCTGTGAGGTGCAGCCTCATTGATAGGCAGTGAATGGTGCACGGAAGCCTCTATAAAGCCGACTGTTGGCTGAGCAGCACTTGAGGCTGTTAATATGCCCACTAAATGCACACCTGTGGCTGCACAAAATTAGTTTAAACAATGGCCCCAAAATTAGGCTCTGTACGCTAATTCAACAGCTTCTCACAAATTAGAAAAATAAAAAAATAGTTGATGAATTCATAGGATTACTGTAATTAAATAATCGGGGACTTGTTTCGCAGCGTGTTTGGCTATTACAATGAATGTTTCATGGAGGCAGTAAGCTGTGAGCCGGTGATTTATGGACAGTTGAAACAGCTTAAAGGGTTTTATGGACTTGTATGCAGCCACCTACCCCAGTGTTGTCATGGTGACAATGGTGTACCAAAACGCTGCGGGGATACTGGTGAACTTGCTGGCTGTGGAACCTTTTTCTGCATAAAACATGACCGTTGCAAAGATAATGATGGCCATGGTGAGGGAGAATAGTAGGAAGCCCAGCTCGGAGGCGCAGCTCTTCAAGGTGTAGCCCAGGATGCGAAGCCCCGCAGAGTGCCGGGAGAACTTGAAAATCCGAAAGACCCGGAAGACCCTCAGCGTGACGAAAGCACCGCTCACCTGGTCATTATCCGTCATGACCAGGCCGATGTAGTAAGGCATGATGGCGACCACATCGATGACGCTCATCACGCTTTTCATGAACTTGTACCTGCTGGGAGCTGCTATCAATCGGAGAAGATACTCAACTGTGAATATCATGACGCAGGCAGTGTCCAAACAAAAGAAAGCCAGGGAGTAACGGTCTCCACAAGACATCTCTTTTGCCCTGTTGGGCATCGCCCCACATGGAACTGTCTCAACCACATTGGCCATCACTGATATGGCAATGAAGAAGCCTGTGACATAGTAGAAGACCAGCGCCATGGTGCTGGTGTGAGGGTTTTCAAAAGCCCGCCACAGGAACTCCCGGTGCGTGAGGTTCACCGGCGTGACGTCATTGCTCTGGTCCATTTCCTCGTCGTCTTGGAGCCTCTCTGCGTTTTCGCGCCGCCGGTCCTTGTACTCCTCATAACAGCAGTCCCCAATGATTTCGGCGATAATACCAAAGAAAGCCAGCTCCTCGTCGTACGCGGCTATGCATTCTTGGCGCGGATAGTGTAGTTTCCCCGTGCGGTAAAAATTGAGGATGTGTCTAAAGATGTCAGGGTCACGGTCGAAAAAGTACTCGTTTGTTTCGTCGTGGAAAAAGAAGTCTCTCTCAGTGCTCCCCAGCAAAGTGTCCGGGTACCTCTCTAAAGTGGTTCTCCACGTCTGAAACTTGGTCCCACTCACGTTGAGGATGATGAGTCCGTCCTTGCCCTTTTTCTTCTCTTGCGGGGGGATAGGCATAGGGGTGCTCGCCACGGGCATCCATCCTATGGCCGCCGCTCGGGCGAACGGGAGCCACGCCGCTACACCTGCTGCCATGCTGGCCTACAGTGTTTAATATAACCCTGCTCCGGTTATCACAGTGCTATGGTTCAGAGACGAATTGCATCTGCAGGAAGAACAGCAGATAGAAACTGGTGGTTAGGCGTTTGGAGCACCTAGGCTCAACAGAATGTGATAAGAAAACCCCCAAACCCATTTACTTAATCTGGCAATGCGCATAGCACTGATGAGTATCACTCTCAAAGCCTGTAACTGTTCATGTTATGGAAGCTCATACTTTGCGGCAGAATATGAATTGGCTTTGGAAAACGTCACCCATCAATAAGCAGGAATGAAAGTAAAAGAAAACCACCCACCTTAGGGAAGGCTGTTCTTTAAACTGCATCCACGGCGAGTTTAATACAAAATAGCGATCCTCGGAAGAGAACACTGCAGCCAGACGATAGAGGAAAAACAGAAGAATATCGTCGCATCAACAAGTTAAACAAACGGAGCAGCAGTTTCTCAGCAGAGAGTGGTCAGCCGTCCAAGCGCGATCTTTTTCTCTCTCCCCCTCTCTCTCTCTCTTCTTTTCATCCGCAAGGCAACGGTGCTCAGTTGCATGCGTTTTTCTCCCGTTGCAGCTACTCCTCAATAAACTCCTATTCCTCTCGTCGACTGCAAGACCACCCTCCCCCCTCCTCACCACCAAGCTCCGACTGTGGAGAGAGGAGAGAAAATCATATTCAGAGAGAGGAGTGGTCCTATCTGCACCCAGAAATTCCTCGGCCGCTCCTCTGTGGGGAGACTAATCAATGCGTAATGGTAAAGGAGGCGGCATCTCCAGAAGCTCAAGTTATTGCTTATGTGGGTTTGTTTTCTCCCGCTGTACACCGTGAACCCTCACGATTTGACTTCTAAAATCTAAAATACAGTACATGAAACAAACCATAGATTGTTTTAAATAAGATGGGTTGTTTTGTGTGGGTTTCTCGCCACATTAACCAAGTCATTTGAAGATGTCCTTCGTTTTTCTCTTTAAAAATAAAAAGTCTAAAACGACTCGGTTTGAAGAGTTAGGATATAAGACTCTTTCAGGGTGCAAAGCTTGTGGTTTATTGGTGACAATTATTGATCTTAATATTGGGGCTTATTAGTTGTTATGTTTCGTAACAAAAATATATTACAGGCTTCAGATCTGCAGCACATCGTGATCAATATTGTTTCTTGAATTGCATTGTTCTGTGATGCTACTGCATGGAGTTACACAGCTTAAAAGGTCAACATCGTTGGGCTACACTGCTCTGACATTTTCAGAAATAACCATAATCAATTAAATGCCTCTTGTGTGCCACAACACAGACCTGCCATCTCCGTGGGGATTTTAGAAAACTGCATGGAACATTTGTTGCGTATTCTGTGACTTCAGTTCTCCATATAAGGAGCCCATGCACTGCCTCTGAACCTTTAGAAGATTTCAGTCCAGTTTCATCCATTTTAGTTTTTCAGCACCGCGGAGAGCTCTAAAGCTCTCAACATCTTTCTCGTTTCCCGGTATGCTGCAGGTTACAGTTTCCAGAAATGTTTTACAGTGGATTCACTCAGCTGTACCACTTCTCCAGATCCACTCAGCACAGAGGGGTTCAGAGTCATGGTTAACTACACACAGCTGCTGAGCTTAAACAAAATAGACTATGGTCTCTTCGATAATTGACCCAGACCTCCAGCCCCAAACCAAATGGGGGTTAAGATTAATTCTCTTAAACATGTTTTTAAAAACACCAGCTGTTGCTCTTTTAAAAGGCAATTTGCAACAAAAGAAAAAGAAGTGGTGAGTGTTTTGCTCAAGGACGATTTGACAGTATAAGTGGTCGCTGATGGACACATAAGAAGTTGCACTTGTCAGACCTGTGGCCTTTTGTTCTCAGATCTTCAGCCAGTTAACTCCATTCACGCCCAGCCTCTGGTCCCCTCTGGCTCCATGGTGAGTTTTTGTAGGATGAATGCACAGGACTGTCAGAAGTCCCATTAGTGTATGCGGATCACACTCAGTGTTCGGTTTGAGCAGTCAGGCCCAGGGGCTATGTATTCATCAGGGCATTTAAATATTCCAGCGGTTGCCAAATGGCACCAAACACAGGCGTCCCAGCAGAGCGTGATGCCAGACTAGCTGCAAGCTTGTCAAGGCACAGATAGCCACAGTGCTTTAATTCAGGAGGTATTCAAAGTGGTTATTTAGTAAATGGTTATTTAGCATTTACATATCCTGTAATTTAAGCAAATTCTCAAAAACGTTCAGATTTTCGAACAGAACACGATGATATTTGCCTCAGAAATATGAGTGTATAAAAAAGCATGGCAGTTTTTTATCTCTCACTCCTCATATTTTCATTTGCCTTTGGTTTGTAAATCCTCTAAATGATTAGATCTTTCTATAAATGCGAATCCAGTTTCAGCCTATATCTTTTCACAGTATATTGACAGATACATTATGTATGGCAAGTCATATTATATGGTGGTGCTCTGTGGTGTAGTGGGATGGTCAGGATGACACCCTCAAGGTGCTGACATGCTTCATGAACACGGTCCATTCCAAGAAGTTCCAAGGTCATTTCAGATGATTGGTGTTGACACAGAGCTGTGCAGATGATTTAATTACACCGTCTGTGTGTTTATGGATTTACTCTTTGGATCAAGTAATTAGCATGTGTCCTCAACAAGGTTGAACAACTCATACGGCATTTTTGTGGTGTTTTGCGTAGACATCAGTTAAAAGATAGAAACCGCTCATGTGGATGTATGATAAATGCATTAATGTCAACAAAAATACAGAGATGGTTTATAAAGGCTTCCAGAAATAATAGTTATATCATCAGGCTATTTCTCTGTCCAGCCAGATAAAGCCTACTGACATTTTAAACTTGTACCACGGAAGTAATGCTGAGGGCTCTGGGATTAGGTTGTGTAACAGCAGGATACATTTTGTAAACAGGTCCTTAAGTGTGCTTAGTGTTGTAACTCGAATGCACCCACCCAAAACAAACACACAAAAACTGTCTGATAAACCCTCAGCAGACTTTCATGGAGGCTCAGACACACACACACACACACACACACACACACACACACACACACACACACACACACACACACACACACACACACACACACGTCATCCTTTTCTAATTTGACAGTCATTGACAGTAACAGTCCGTCCACTGTACACTGGTGCAGCCCTCAGTGCTGCGTGTTTTCTGTATTCGTAGTCAGGTCCAGCTCAGTGATTGAGATGATTAAACAGATGAGTCCCCTTCACTAGATACGTGCCATGGCTTGTTAAGTAAGAAGTTAAAGGGCAGCCCCCATTTGATTCGGGTCATCAATGAAGAATCTCGAAACATTTGAAATAATTGAAGCGAGCTTGTAAATTTAAGCCAGATATACCAAGTGAGCAGAACGAATCATCTACAGTACAAATACATGCTTCAATGCCTACAACGACCTGTACTGTACTTTACTGGGAAAGAAGTCTAGTTTAACCCCATAATAAACTTCATTTTTATGGAGCATTTCAACGAGATGCAAAGCTCATGACAAGCGATAAAAGGGTCATAAATAAAAAGCCAATAGGATGAGCAATAAAAAATCCCAGAAAGGCAGAAAAAGGTTAAAGGAATAAAACAGGCAAATTACACAAGGTACCCTATTGCAGGCGTGGGTACCACCCTGGCATGTTTTATGACATGCTGTTAATGAAGTCTGAATCGTCCTCATGACCTCTGGACACAATGACATGTGGATATCCTCAGGTGAGCAGCCCTCCCACACCACGTCATCTCACTCAGCCTCCCTCTGCCTCACCTCGGCTCTAATGAGTTATTGACCCCCCGCGGATGTGTAAAATAGAGTTGGTCTTCTTGGTTCTTTATTGCACATGGCAGCTGGTGTGTTTGTGTGTCTGCATCTCCCTTTCCGTGTTTGTGTGTACACATCCATGTATTCATGTGTTAAGCCATTTATTTGTGAGTTCATGTGTGTGCACTATATGCAGAGATGCCGGGAGTGGGAGGCTGATGTTTGCGCTTGAGGACAGTATGACTAGTTTTATCCCTGTCAGGATTGCTGGGATAATCTGTAATTTAACAACTGCTTCTTGTCAAAAAGCTACAAATGCGCTAAATGTGTATGTGTGGTTGCTACCTGTGGGTTTATTTCAGCATTAAAAAAGGTGCTGCGAAATGTATAAATATTACATCCGTATCATCTTAGATTATGGATATTGTAATGTTGCATGTAAGTGTCTCTCCCTGGTTTTAAGAGATGTACTGGTATTACAGTAAAGTGATGTTATTTCTTGAAGTTACCAGACGTTTCTAGCTGTTCTATGATTTAGCTTTACCCATTAAGTCATTATATCCACATTAATGTTGATTATTTATTAAATATAATTATGGACATTTTGGAAAAGCACCAACAGTCAACCCTGCAATATCTCTGCAATATCTCCCAGCCAGACATCAAAAGCATATTGTAACTTATAGAAAACCAAATCTGTTCAAACCTATGTTACTGGCACGATTACAGTCTGGCAAAAACACAAGAATACTGTTTAAATATGGTCTCACTCATTAAATCAGTCTATCATTTATATACAGCCCATCCTGGATAGGAAACAATGAAATCCACCCACTAGCGCCTTTTTAATTGTTTTTCACCTGGCTCCTTCTCACTGTGTCTATAGGGAAAGTATAGCTCTTGTCATCTGGTGAAGAGGTGTAGAAGGGATTAGAACAGAAAGGGAGGTGTCTGTCAGCGTGAGTGCTTGTGCCTATACAGTAGCTAAAGCACACACTGCCGCATGCGTCTGGGGCTTTGAGAACTCCTTGAGTACAGTACATCACTGCAGGATCAGCCGTAAGTCCCTTAACTGCCACTGCACCCTGGCACATCTGCTGAAAAATGTAACGTGCGGCCATGAAACTAAGCTAAACCATACTTTTACTTACCTTGTCTTGTCAGCTCAGCCTTGTAGTATAACTTTTAGCCTTGTTGCATTGCAGAAAAAAAATACAGATGTTCGTTTATCTCATGGTGTATAATTAAAAACTAAAGACAGCACAGCGCCCAGCCTGCAAAGCCTCATTGAAATAGGAATTATTTCCCAAGGACTTAGTTTTTTGTATATCCGTCTCATCTGTTGAATACAACCCCCACTGCAGAGGTGTTGAGCAGATGCTATGTGAACTTTTGAACACAGAGCTTTTAACAGGTTCACACTGTCTGTGTAGCCGCGGCCCCAAATTGAAAAGGAAGCTTCTCCTTTTTTTTTTTAAGTGAGACAAGTGATGAAACCTTTATGTTGCAGCTGCTTCACTGAACTGAGAGGACGGCTAAGAGGAGACGGATATTAGCTGTAAAGTTCAGCTCAGGACTAGAACAGACATTACACATTCAGAGTTCATTGCCCATCATTGCTGTGCATAGACTTGTATGAATGTTGGAGCACACTGGATAGCATCCAACATGGAACAATTTTGATCTAATCTGCCTCTTGAAATCATATTTGTTTGGCAGATGTGAGGTCCCGTTTCATTGGATCATATTCAGAATTTCATTGCCATTTCAGCAGATTGATACTTAAATGTCACTGGCTTTAATGCGGTTGGCTCAGATTCAATCCATTGTTTTGGATTTGCTTGCCGTTTTTTTATTGTGTAAATGTGCTGACAATCAAAGGCAGTCAAGTTCAGGCCATAAACTTCTCTCTAATCCCTAAAGATGTACTTGTTTAAATAAGGA